TGCTTCCCCGATGAAATGTGTTTTTAATAAATGTTCTTTTAATTTATCAGGTGCTTCTATTTCAGAATAAATAAATACCAAACAATCTCTTTGCTCAAAAAGACCTATTTTTCATTAGTTTCAAAGTTCTTCCTACACATCCGTTGTTGAAATTTTTTTTTGATGGTTTTAGATCTTTTGGTGTTTGTTTTGTGGTAGTGATTCCCTTGTCATTTTTCAAAATTGAAACACATTTTGAAACAGTATGACTTGTATATACATAGCGCTGAATGATTTCTTCAGACGTACTGTAACCTTTTATTCCGCTTTGGTATTTCTGATCACAATTAATAGTTTGTTAAATGCATTGGTCAGATGGAACTTTGTTAAACGTACCGCTCGTTCATCTCAAGGATAAGTTTCCATCATTGTTTTCAAAAAGATAATAAACTATAAAGATTTAGTTTAAACCTATTTTTAAAACTAAAATTTGTTGAAATCTAAACAAAATATTTTGGAGTACAAATTTACATAAACTGTTGATAAGTTTTAGGAAGTTGCATTATTTTGGTCCAATAGAAAGTTAAGAAGCAAGAATAATTCGGACAATTATATGCAAAAAATCACGGTAGCATTTGGCGTGTTGCTTCCAAATAAAGAATCCTGTTACCAATCTTCTTTGAACGGAACACAGCAAAAAAAAAACTTAACATTTCGATAAAGGAAAACCAAAAAGCGAAGGTTAGTCCGGAAATATCAATACCTTTTAACAAATTTGAGTGATCATCTAAAGTTTTTAAGAAATCATTATCAAACAAGTATTTCAAATTGTCGGAATTTATCTAGAAATAATCAAAGTATAATTTTAATATCATCATTAAATTCACAGACATGAAGCATATTAAGGCAAACTAATTTACCTCCTTTAAACAATTAATCAACTTAGGTGAGGAAGAGAAGTGATTCAACGAAGGAAGATTGTTTTCAACTAAGCAACTTTCAAAATATTTTATCCTCAGCTGGGTTAAAGCATTTTACAGCTATTGATAAATTTGAACGGCACGTTTATATTACTTTTCCTTTAAAATGTGCTCCAATGAACTTTTACGTTAAAAAAAAATAAAAAATATCTTTAGTACATCGACCTTCTTTTGTCAAAAAAATTCTTCTGGAATATTTGCTACGTAAAGCAATATCAATTAAATTTAAGAAGATACCACTCAGCGGCTATATTAGCTTCAATTAACCAGTTCTGCAATCCAGCATTATTAAATCGTTTGCCAATAACAGTTAGAAAATACGAGATGTGTGAAATGCACTCATTCGAAGGACAATGAATCTTTTAAGATCAATATGACTAGAGTTTATTAGGTTTCCACCGCTTTTGCATATATAACTTGATCCATTACAACGTCAGTTTCTTACAAACCAAATGTCTCGGGATTGACTTTGGACTGGAGCAAAACTTTAAGCACTGTGCTCAAGTTTTTAGGGGATGAATAAATTTCAGGAAAATAGCTAATAGTGTGGATATCTTCTGATATCATTTCAGGTGTAAATAGGTAGTTAAACTCAGTCCAATTTGAGATATTATTAAAAAATAATATACTAAGGTCCTAACGAAGTCCAGATTCTCTGAAACTACCGGTAACATACTGTCTTTTGATAACGCGTTTATTTGACGAAGGATGATCTGTTTCTTCTCGATTATGCTTTACGTACAGAGGCAACTCTTTCTCAATTCCTATATTTTTTTCTTGAAATTATTTCGTTAAACTCGTTTTTGTGTAACTGACCAAAATTTTGTAGCTCAATAACAATACCATTTATGACGTGCATAGAAAGTTTCGGGATTTATATCGTTGTTATCCCAAACGGAGGTAACAAATTTTGAGGGCTGGAGAACAGAAGAGCAAAAACTTTTAAAATTTTGATTTTGCGTTGCATTTTGTGCATTAGATGAAACTAAATAGTTTACTTCATCATAGAAAATATATTCTAAATTACTTTCACTAACTCTTTTGATCCAGTTTTTTGTGCTTAAACTTTGTAACACGTGTTTAGAGCATCGATGGCCGTTTGTTATGTTATAAATAACATCTTCACAAAGAGAGTTTATTTTGACAGCTCCTTATTTACAAACTCAATCACAAAATAGAAATTTTGCAAAAAGTTGATGCATAAGAGGTGGGATTTCAGTCTTAACTCTTCGTAACTCGTCTTCATTAGGAGGCCATTTTAAGTATGTTTTTATTATAGACAAAACCTCGCTGCGAATCTCTTGTGCAACATAAGCGATAAGCTATTTAATCAGTTTCGGATTTTTTTTTTCTAGATTTTTAATCTTTTTTAAATAAACTTCAATGATTTTTCCCTTTTCAATGATATCGTTGTATGAGAAAGAATAGATGTATTTAGGTTACCATAACTAAACAGACTCGCCAAATTTTGCAACTTTTGCACCCTGCAATGTCTGGAATTTTTATTCTATCTGTGCAGTTTTCATTGTAAACTTCAAATAGTTTACTTGTATGAACAATTTCTAAATTGTCTAATACATGTTTTATTACATAGTTTAAGAGCAAACCCTCAATTGCATCTTCTGTTAAAATAAAAGGATTTTTATGGGGTCTTGTATAGTAAAGGTAACATGACCGATGATAATATAACTCTAAGTAAAAATGGTTTGTCATTCTGTGCCCGATATACTAGCCATTAGTCGTGGGATATTTGCTCTACTTACAGCATTTTATTTTAACATGTTTGCAGTACTTTCCATTACGCATTTTGTAAGGGTTTCGTATTCGTTCCTACCTTTACTAGTCTTTTTGCAATAACAAACACAACATACTTCATCCGTAATAATTTTTCCTGAAGCAAGAAAGTTATTTTATAGATTATTTATTTATTTCGCCATTTAAATAAGCTTTACAATGTTCCATTATATAACAAAATAAAATAATTGGCTTGACCAAGAAGAAGGCATATATTAGCTTCATCACCAAGCCCCATTAAAAACGCTTCAAAAAATCCAAAACACCATAAAAAAACAAAAAAAATATACAATTGCAAGAAGTAACGAATCAAGATAGTAATAAAACAATTATAACAGTTCAAAATAAGTTAATAAGTTGAAAATAAAATAATATGATAAAATAATGAAAATAACAAAGTTCCCGTGTTGGATTGTGTATCGCAATTTAAAAAGAAAATAAACAAAACTTTTTTCATATCATCATTAAGTGTATTAAAGCTTTTATAAAATCACGCACAACAAGATATTTCGCAAAAAGAGATTGCATATTTTAATTAAAAAAACATAAATAAAATGATAATAAGAAAATAAAATTCTCAAAGTCATAATTAAATAAGAAATGAAAATTAATTTTAAAAAAATCACTAACAAGATTTGCATACTCTTAAATATCCTTTTTAACTAATTTTTGAAAGAAATTTATATTTTTTACACGCGCGTAATATTACTATTTTTTGCTAAGATTTCATTCCAGATATGTAATTTTAAACTGTTCTTGTTTTGTTTTGCATAAAGGTTCAATTAAAAAGCCTGTTGTACGCAAGGTATTTTAAAGTTAGGTTTTATTTAATTGAGATCGTAAAAAATTTAAGGACCTTGTTGGAATTTACTTTTGTACATAAGACATAAAAATTTATATATGTTTAACTTGTATAATGTATAAATACTCATAATTTTAAAAAGTGGTTTGCATGCACTCTTTTTTTTTAAAATTCATTATTCCTAAAGCATGTACGGTTTATTATTTTAACTATTTTAACTTTGAAGTAGTACATAAAACAAAAAAAAACTTGAGTAATTTTCTTTGCTTTGCATTTCTAGCTGAGAGTGTTTTAATTTATCTCTTTTCCGAGCTGAGATTCTGCGTTCAGATGAGGATGTATCATCCTTCTCACACTCTCGTTGACATTTTTAATTCTATTTTTCCAACGTTGTAGAATGTATATTGTTTTTATATTCACATACTTATCGTAATATCTTTGATGAAACAAGAGAGTTGTTGAGCGCGTATCAGGTAGAATGTTTATGATTTCAAAGTCATTTCGAATTTGACTACACTATAGTCAAATTCAAAATGACTTTTAGTATGGGTTTGATAATAATTTTTTTTTACTATAGTCTATAGTTAAAAAAAAAGTTATTATCAAACCCATGCAATTTAATTGTCTTTTCCGTATTCTTGAATAATATTTTATGAAGAAATAAATTGAGTTCGACATTTAGTTTGTGACTTACCAAGCATTATTTATTTATTTTTTTGAAAACAACAGAAGGACCCGAAGACCAATAACACTGAGTATACACTAACAAAAATTTTTTACTGAAATGTTAAATTGTATCAAGTGCTGGACAAGTTAGAACCAAATTGTATTAACTTGAACAAAGCAGTACAGCAAGACGTTTCTTAAACATCAAGACAGACGATGCAGACACCACATTCTCCGATAAGCATACATTAACAATTCGATTAGAAAAGAAACACTTTGTGTTGTTTAAACTACAATGGTGTTTGTACAGTTTAAAGTTATGACCGCTATTATTCAAGCAAGAATTGAGAATAAGAATGTTTGATAGGTCAGAGTCCATTTTACCGTTAATTTTGTAGCATAAAACTAAATCTTTAAACACTCGTCGATATTCTAACGTCTTAAGCTTTAGTATGGCTAGACGCTTATCATAGGAAACTGACCACAAACCAGCTATTCTTTTAGTGAAGAAACGCTGCAATTTCTTAACTTTATTGATCAGGTAAAAAAAAAATATATATATATATTAAGAATAATTTACATTAATTACTGAATAGCAACCCGCGTCACTAATTTCATATTACGGTAGTGCGGGAGAACGACTTCCTTTTTTTTTTATGACAAATACTAAAGAACTACTTTATTTCTATTCTTTTTTTATAGAAATGAATAACAACTACAATCTATTTTAAAAAAAGCTAAATCCATAAAAGACTTTATATAAACCTTTAATAAGGAGCTTTAAAATAATTATATTTTTAATAATATTTACAAAGATATTTTATATTACTTATAATGTTTAGGAGCACGAAAGTATGGTTGGGGGGAACCATCCGGTGTAGGCTCATAAGTATTCTTGTAAGATTCTTTATCACTATCAGGGTTAAATCCATTTGGTATTTCGACGCACTTGATATTTATGATGTTAAAAAACAGCTTGCCAGTAAAGTATGCCAATGGAACTTGAAAATCTTTGTTCACCTTAAATATTATTGTTATAACTAGAAAAAGTTTTTTTTATCTATTATATATATATATATATATATATATATATATATATATATATATATATATATATATATATATATATATATATATATATATTATTTATGTATATATATATATATATATATATATATATATATATATATATATATATATATATATATATATATATATATTACATATGTAAACAATTAAAATGCATAAGACAAAATGCTATTTAAAAAAAATTACGTTTTTTAAGCAGTAATAAAATTTGTCGTCGCATTTGCAATCGGATATAGTATAACCTTTGGTGTTATGTAAACCCCATCTGAATTTTCCTGCTCCAATACTTAATTTACATTTATCGTGTTCAAAACAGCATTCATCGAGTTGATCAAAGAATCCGCGATCCTTATCTGATTTTGAATTATTTCCATGACCGCAATACTTAGTTCCATAAAGAATAATTTTTTTTTTTCCACCATTTTCAGTATTAATAAGTTTAGTTGCAACTACAATTAAATAGTAAAATATACAAATGTATTAATACTTTTTTTCAAAATATACTTTAAGACATTGTTTTGAACTATATTTGTTTTAAAATATATTATTAATAATTTATTATGCTTTGTTTGAAAATAAAAAAGGGTAGCCTTTTAAGATAAATTAAACATTTATCTAGGGCATTGCAATCTTATTACCTGTTTTTACAACATAATGTAGTAATAACAATTTTACGGAAAATAACATTTTATAGAATATAAATACTTTACGGAATATAGTTACTTTACAGAAAATAATTATTTTAAGAAATACAATTACTTTATGGAACGTTTTATACTTTATTTTAACAACTTTATTTTGAAATAAAATTACCTAATTTCCTAGCAATTGATTCATCATTTTGAATTTTTTCAAATACTTCTCTTTCTGAAAATCCTTGTTTTTTTTGATCTTCAAGAAATGCTTTAACATGATCTTCATCATTTTCATCTTCAACACTTTTTGAAATCTTATCCCACGAGAAACAATCAGACAATTTTATAAAAAGAAACGCAGCAAATATCCTAAATAAACTTTTTTTTTTATTTCTATTATTTTTATTATTTAAATTTTCAACAAGTTTCACTTGTTTTTTTAAATGTACTTGTATATATATATATATATATATATATATATATATATATATATATATATATATATATATATATATATATATATATATATATATATATATATATATATATAAATATATATATATATATAAATATATATATATATATATATATATATATATATATATATATATATATATATATATATATATATATATATATATATATATATATATATATATATATATATATATATATATATATATGTATGTAAATGTATTACTGAAATGAATGACTTGGAAACAAAAACATTTAACCTCTCAAAAATTTTTATTCGGAAGAAAACATAGACGCAGAAATTTCTTTAATGTATTTTTTAATTTAAATTGCGAGTTGCGAGTTCACGCGAGAATTACCTGCTTGATGCTCTAGAGAGTTCTACATCTGAACCAAGCAATTACTGTGACCTTACTCAAGCTTAATTTTGTGGAAATTAAATTTCTCCAAGATTAGAGGCATTGTTAAAAAGTTGAAAGCATCTTGCGTATCTGAGTGACCGAGTCTTTTATTGATTCCTGCATCCCTATTGTCAAAACAATAACCATAAGATTCAGAAACAAACCGTTTCAAGCTTCTGATAATATTTCTTCTGACCATACTTTTCAGGAGGTAAAAAACTCTCAGAAAAACGAAATTGTGTTTATAGAAAACATTAGGTAAAAATATCATTATTAAGTTGCAAATCTTCTTGACAATGACAAAGTTAAATGAATTGTCACGTCCCAAATAGAAAATTAATATTATTCGATTATATAAATTGATTTTATATATTTAACTTTCATTCTCTAGAATATATTTCGTCTGACTTTTTTCCCCGTAAACTTTGGAAAGTCAGGCTAGAAAACTTTGGTTGATAAATCACGCAGCAAAATATTTAATAAACATTTTTAACTGGGGTACTAAACTGATTTTGTAAAAAGTTAAATGAAAGTTTAAAAATAAAAATAATGTATTTCCTACTTTAAAAAATTATTATTTTTATTATGACGTATCTAAAGTATCTAAAAAATACGTCATAAAAAAAAATAATAAAACCTAATTTAATATAAACTTTAAATGTTTTTAAATAATTATTTAAATGTTTTTAATAATTATTAGCGCAAAAACTAAAGTTTTCTTGTCTGACTTCCCAAAATTCACAGGAAAAAAAGTTAGACAAAATATCGTCTATGAAATTAGTAAAAATACAATCTTTATGCTTTTTACGTCAAAAATTAAATCAAAATCTCATGCTAAAGGTAACTAAATTTTTTTCGCACATGTTCCAATTGATCAATCAAAGTTAAAAATTGCTTAAACATTTCAAGTAACATCTCATTTGGCTATACTATCTTTGTCCTGAGTCTGTTTCGTCACCCTTAAACGAACTTAAATACTATTTGTATTTGTATAATGCTATGACTAAATTTTGTTAGTTTGTTCTTAATACTCTAGTTTCTCTTATCACAAAACACCTATAAATAACGGAATGGAATTTCGAATTAGATAAGACCGACAAAACATCGACAATCTGAAAAATGTGAATAAGAGTAAGTCAAATGGAAAATTGCCGTTACTTCCCAGTAAGACAAAGACGTCAAGCCGTAGTTGTAATTTGGTTGTATTTTGGTCGCGACGCAAGTTAACTAAATTCCAACGATGTTCCAACGTCGGCATAACGGTGTTGTTTTAACGTTTGCTAACGTCGGCATAACGGTGTTGTTTTAACGTTTTTCAAACGTTGGAACAACGTCAGAAAAACGTTATCATCTAAAGTCTTGAATGTTATCATCTAAAGTCTTGAATTAAAACGACGTTGGAACAACGTTGGTTGTTTAACGTAAAACCAACGTTAGTCTGATTAACGTTGAAACGATTATGAAACAACGTTGCTTTTTTTACGTTTTTACTTTTGACATCAAAGCAACGTCAGCTTTCTAACGTAAACACAAACTGATTTTACTAACTTGCGCATTTTTAAAATGGTTGAAAAACCGTTATCGAAAAAGATGTGATTTTTAATCTAATTTTAATTTAATGGTTTTTAGGCATTATATTCTGTGATACTAATAACTAATACATTATTTCTTTATATTCTACATTCGAATTAGATATTAAAGTTTTATCATATTAATGATAAATAAAAGTTACTAAAACTTTATTTGATTTTCAAAAACTGTTGACATTTTTGTTATGTTTTTGTACACTTTATATATTTAACATTACTTATATAGTAAAAATTTCTAACATATATAATATTTGCACATAATATTTTATTTACAAATAGATAACGCAATAATAGGTTTTTTAAATACCCGTTATTAAACTATTAAACTAAAGTTTAATTAAATG